CCTCCTAAAAAAGGAGTGTTAAAAGAAAACTTAGGAATTTTTTTATTCTATGCCCTTATTCGCAGCAATGATATTTTTAGAGGTTATTTCATCCAAGCTTAGATCTTTGCAGAAAAGGCTTTATCTTCTTTGCAGTAAAGGCAGACAAGAACTCAGCTTGAAGTCTTTCCTTCTCAATCCTTCTGTTTTGAAGGGGTAAAAGGATAAGATGGAATGGAACTCAGTGTGTGAATTGAACCCCTTTGCCTTGTCCCCCTCCTGATGGAGAAATCTACTTGATTGAGGAGAAAGTTGCCTGAAATTGTCTGCCTTTTAGAAAAAAAGTCTTAGCTACAAGAAACTGCTTCTGAATTTCTCTGTGCAAAATGAAAAATAAACCTTAGTGATTATCCTTATTTTGCTTTAAAAGAGAATATTTATCTTGAACAGCTTTTCCTTCCAAAGAAAAGCATACTAGTGTAATAGGCCAGGTAAACATTCCTTTAGAATTTGTTCCTGTTAACATCCATTGGACTAGTTCTATACCAAGGATAAGCTACTACTTCAGGGGGACTGGGTATCTACAATATGAAATAGAATGGAAAAGAAGTGCTGCTATAGGAACATAAAATAATTCAAACCGTATTATTAATAATAATAGTTATTGACATTTATACGGTATGCTATAGTTTACACAATGCTTTAGAATATGATTCTTACAATAAACCTTTAAAGAAGGTGATACAGGTTTTATTTTCCTTATTTCACAGATGAGGAAACTGAAGTACAAAGTTAAAGGACTTAACCAAGGTCACTCAGCTAGTAATTTTAAACCCAGGTTTTTGAACCTAAAGCCAGCTCTGTTTCCACACTACCATATTTCTCAAGGTCATGGAATATTTAAAGCACTAGCTAGATTTGTAGTCCTCATTTTGGCTTGCAACATTAAAACAGTGGTGCAACTTTATTTAACCAGTCTTCAGATAGCTGTAGTAGTAGAAGTTCCTACAAACAGTGATTATAGTTACATAGGAAATCGTCCATCAACTTTTTAAGCTGTCTACATCCAGTGGTATTATGGCAAGCACTATGATCTCAAACACAAGTATAGAAAAGTAAGTGTGTGTGTGTCTGTGTCTGTGTGTCTTGACCCTACTGGCTCTGCTTGTAAGATTAGGGTGGAATAAAACTGAAGGACATGAGGTTCAGGGCACAGTCCCTAGTCCCAGTCTCTAGATCCTGTCCAAGTATAATAAACAGGAAGTTCCTCCCCTTAGGACATGGAGTTCATAAGCTCCCATCCCTTGCTCTCTGCATCCCCTAAGAGGAATCTTAGGGGGTAAGGGTAGCTAATAGTAGTTTCAGAACCCTTGTCCAGGGTTGATAAGCTAAGGCATCCCAACATAGTGCCAGAGGTTTGACATGTCAAAGGAAATTCCTGTGAGAGGCAATAAGGAAGCAAATACTGTGGGAGGAAGAAGCGGGTAAAGCAGTCAGGTTTTTTCAGCGCATACTCCTGACTGGAAACAGCTTGGGCAGAAGAAGGGACACTACCTTGGTGGGTCATTCACAGGTCAATTGTAGTGGAAGAGATTTGTCCATATAAGAGTGAGGGGGACTTGTATAGGGGCTAAAGTGGGGTCATTCCCTTTACTTGACCCTTAGTGGGATTAGACTTGGCCAGAGCCTGTTGATTGATGATATGGTGGTGTAGGACGTAGGTTTTGATATGCTAACTAGGCAACTCCAAGATGGTGGGGAAGGATCCCAATAATGAAGGGGCAGGGGCTGTTGTAGCTGGCAAGCAAGACACTCGAGAGCAGATGAGTCAAAGGTCAGTAGGGGTGGGTGGGTGTGTGTGTGTGTGTGTGTATGTGTGTATGTGTGTAAAAATATACAAACACTGTATTACACTTCTCACATCAAATTGTCTTTGAAATCTTTGACTATTACCTTGTTTTTATGAACTATTACCTATATAATTGCACAATAATGATAGTCAAATGTGAAATTCCATTTTCAGCTTAACCTAAAAAATGAAATAGTATGTATTTCAAAGGAACACACTAATCATTGTGTCATTGTATAAGAATTTTTAAATGATTATTTAAGACCAACTTCTGCAAGGCTTGGTGAATTTTTTGCCTCCTGGGGGGGTTTTAGAGACATCATGTTTCATGACTGCTAATCAATTTGCAAAAAGTCTACTGAAGTGTAATACTTTAATATAATTTAACATACCCATGTACCATGGTGTGAAGTTAGATTTTTTTTTTCCTTATGTAGAAATAAAGCTGACATTAGCATTCAGGTATACAGTTCAGTTTATCTCTAGTGAGAAGTCTTTTAAAATTAAGTTAAATATAGTATGAAGGGCAGAGAGAATCAATAATATTTCATTTCTTTTAAGTAAGGTCTTTCTATATATATTTGCTTGGTATGCTTATAAATTTCTCATTATAGGAATATTTTATAATATATGTCAGTTATAGATTTAACCATAATAAAAAAATAATACCCAGTTCAGAGATATCTTTTATCTGTCCTATAGAAAACTGCTTAGCTAAGTCTTTATATAGGAAATAGATGTTTAATATACTTTAAAAATAACTTTTTAATACTGTGAATGTTAATGTAAAAGCAGTAAAACCTTAACACACAGTATCTTGTACCACTTGCTATATATAGCACTGTGGCATAATAGATTTCTGGATTTGAGACCAAGAGACTTTGGTTTGAATCCAGGCTCAGATACTTATTAATTATATGATTATTGTCAAATTATTTCACCTCTCTGAACTTCAGTTACCTCATCTGTAAAATAATTATAACAGTTAACATTCATATAGCATTTACTGTGTGCCAGGCACTGTGCTAATAAGTGCTTTATAATTATTATCTCATTTGGTCCTCACAACAACCTGTGGGTAGGTGCTATTATTATCCCCATTTTATAGATGAGGAAACTGAGACAAACAGATGAAGTGATTTGCCCAAGGTCACACAGGTAGTAAGTGTTGAAACTGAATTTGAAATCAGGTCTTCCTGACTCCAGACCTGGTGGTACTGTATCTACTGCATCACCTAGCTAAAAATAATAACTTGTATGACCTATTGGAACAGGGTGCTTGTGGAGGAAAAAATAACAACTTTGTAAATGTCAAATTAATATATAAAATGAATTATCATAGTGATTAAATGATTGGGAATTCTTCTACTTACTAGAAAACACTGTACACAGCACATGGTAGGTGCTCAGTATATATACCTCAGTTCTCCAGTGGAACTGTAATTTCCTCATTATCGTTATTCCTTTTAATGATACAGATCACAGGCTATTCTTATTTGCCTATCATGTTTGATTCTTATCCATATCCTTCCATAAATTCTTCATGAGATTGGGGAAGGGTCACTTTACATTGCTTGTATACCATTGGAACATGAGCAGTACTCATTGATTATTCCTCACTCTTGCTACTTTATTGGCCCATATTTTCTGGTCATACATCTCTCTGGTGACATCTTTTATGCCACTTCAGTTGCACAATTTTGGTTTTAGTTATATTGCAACCTAATTGCAACTTCCCTGTGCCTTTCCATTGCCTTTTGGGTGAACTTCAACTTGAATTCTCAGGAAACTGATATTCTATGACTTGTAGTCATGTAGTCTCACTAGAAGAAGGTTGTTAAAACAATAGGCTTTTGTTTAGGGAAGAATCATCATGTTATTGAAAATCCCATGCTATTGCCTACTCTCTTCCTTTTCAACTCACAGCTTAGTTCATTATGTACTAATAATGGACCACCTCTTTGGGTTTTTTATCCCGTTGCATATCATAAACAGGAGACATTCTTTATCCACTTAGTTTTTCTTATTTAGATGTTTAGGTTGAATCCTCCTGAATGATTATAAATGACATTTAGGAGTCTCTGCAGTATAGTTATACATAACAATGAATAATAGCAATATGTAATTTTCAGTTATTTTAACATTTTTATGGTCTAAAGGTTTTCATATTGCAGTGACAGTTGAAACCATGTTACCAAAGGTAAGAATTGTTACAGCAATTTATACAGTAGCATTAACAAATGAATAAGAAAAATGACCAGAGTGTTGCCATTAGAATATTAGAAATGAGCATTCAGCAATTATCTTTTTAGTGTGTCAATAAATTCAAAAGAGCTCTAGGTATTTCTGTTGTTAGGTCTTTGGAACAGTTTCTTATTTACAGAAATAGCCAAAACAGGGTAGTACAAATTGACTATAAATCATATTCCTGAAATTGTACTGTTATTATTACATATGGGATGGTTATGGCAACAATAATAGAGTAAGAATTTATAAGCCCATAATTTTAAAAAAATCACCTGCATTTATTTATTTATTTACTTTAAGGTTTGCAAAGCAGTTTACAAATATTATCTCATTTGATCCTCACAACAACCTTGGAATGTGGGTGCTATTATTTCCGTGTTATAGAAGAGGAAATTGAAGCTAAGAGAGGGCCTCACTGCTTGTAAGTTGTCTGAGGCAGGATTTGAACTCGGGTCTTCCTGACTCCAAGTCCAGTATTCTTTCCACTGATGCTGTTTCTTTGTCTGTTGCAAAAGGTCATGCATGTTTCCAGTTCCTGAAGGATCTGCCAGCATTGAATTTACTTAGCTATGTACCTTTTTTTTTGTGCTCAATAAAATGTGAAGTTTTTGGGAACTGGAACTAATTCATTATTGTCTTTGTATTCCCACTTCTTAGCATAGTGCTTGGTATATAGTGAATATTTAATAAATACTTGTTGAATAAATAAATGAATGAACAAATGAATTTTACTACATGGGATCAGAGGAGAGTTGAGACCTACTTTTAATTCCTAAAAAAATTCTTCAGCTCCTGGGGAATGTCAATGGATGGGTTAATTTATGTGCCAGGTTTAATTTATTTTTTCTGTTTATGTTAAGTCTAGCAATTAATAAGTCTTCTTTTAACTTTTTTTGAATTACATCTTCTCTTTTTTTTTTTTCAGGAAATGTTTTTATATTTATCCACTGAAGTAAAAAAACTATCAGAACTCCACAATGAAAGAGTGTTGGATACATTTCATAATCCTACGTCTCTAGGTAATTTTCCTTCTTATTTCTCATAAATATTTCTGACTTAATGAGCCCTAAACTACTTTCTAGAAGGAAATTAATCATTTTTGCTAGCTGGGTAGACTTTCTGGCTTGGTGGATTTCACTGACTGAATCCTCTGATCTAGTAAAGTTTCATATAACTTCTGCTTGACTTATTTCTAGGGAGTTTCCTACACACTGAGAAAATCTCAATCAAAACAGATATATTCATCATAACTACTTAGACTGGTTATGTATATCCATTTTGGCAAGTAACAAGAATTCATTGTGTATTACATATTAAACCTTATTTCTGACAGTCTTTTTTTAGAAGTTGTATTGTTTTCGTACCAGTCATTTTTCCTTAATTTCTTTCCCCCATTAAGTCTTCCCTTTTAAAACAAAAAAATTTAAGCAAAACCAAATAATATAGTTGACTGTGTCTGAGAATGTGCAATATTTAGGATCTATAGTCTCCCATCTCTCCTGAGAAGCAGGAAGAAATAAAAGTAAGAAATTCTGCCAAATACCAAGCAAATCTGTCACTCTACTAGCAATAGTATGAAAAAAAAAGCTAGATTTTTTTTTCTTATGTCATTGATATATAATTTTGGAGAGAGGAGAGTTTAGACTTATAATTTTTATTGATGTAGGGAATTCTTGTAAGAAAATTCTTTTTACCAGTGCAGATTCTAGTAGGCGCACTGAGAAGCTTTTTTCCTAGGGTCACAGAGCCAGCCATGTGACAGACAGAACTTGAACCCAGGTCTTCCTGACTCCAAAGCTGCTGCTTTTATTCACTATAAATTCTTTAAAATTAAAAAGAGAAATGTCTGTCAAAAAAGGGAAAAAGAACTATTTGTACAAAAATATTTAAAGCACCTCTTTTTGTGGTTGCTAAGAATTAAAAATCAAGAGGATGCCCTTCAATTGGGAAATGCTAAAGAAGGTGTGGTATAGGATTGTGATGGAATATTTTGCTGTAAGAAATAACAAGTAGGATGATTTCAGAAAAACTGGGAAGGACTTACATGAACTGATGTAAAGGGAAATGAGCAGAACCAGGAGGACATTGTCCACAGTAACAGCAATATTGTATGATGAAGAACTGTGACTGACTTAGCTATTCTTAACAATACAATGATCCAAGACAATCCCGTAGAACTAATGATGGCACATACTATCCATCTCCAGGGAAAGAATTGATATTGTTTGAATACAGACTGCAGCATGCTATTTGTCACTTTTTTCTTTCGTTCTTTTTCTTTTATTCGAGTCATCTTGTACAGAATGACTAATATGGAAATGTTTTATACGATTGCACATGTATAACCTTTATCTGATTGCGTACCGCCTCAGGGAAAGTGAGGGTAAGAGAGGGAGGGATAGAATTTATAACTCAAAACTTTAAAAAAGCAACAAATGTTTAAAAATTGCTTTAACATGTAATTGGGGAGAAAATAAAATAAGTGTTTTTAAAAATATATGCAGGATGTCCCAAAAGTCTTAGTGTAACTTTAAGTTTTAGCTGGGATACACAGGGCTGATTCAGTATTAGGAAAACTATTAACATATCATTATATCAATAACTATAACTATATCAGTAACAAAAACAACAAAAATCATATGATTACATCAACAGAAAAAATGTTAAACTTAAAGTAATAAACTCCCTGAAAATTAGAATAGAGCAAACAAATCAGTAACTCCATAATACCGCATGAAATACTAGAACAAGATCAGAATATTTTGAAAATGTAAATACCTGATTATAACCAACTGGAAATTGAAAAACATGTCAAGGCCAGATACTTTAAGAAGAATTGAACTCCCTGAAAATGGATTTTTTTTAAAGACCTGGACGCTATTTGAAGAAATCACAAATTAAAACTTCCCAGATCTCTTAGAACCAGAGGGCAAAGTTAAGATAGTAGGAATTCACCTAGTACTTCCTGGAATATTCCCCCCCCTCCACCACCCAAAAAAAAAAATCCTAAGGATATCCTTGCCCTAATCCAGAGTATCCTTGTCCATGAAAAAATATTGCAAGCATCCAGAAAGGAATTCAAGTATGAAGGAACCACAGTCAAGATCACACAATACATTATAGCTTCTATTATGAATGTCAGGAGATTTTGGAATACAGTACTAAGAATTATAACTTAACCTGCAAAGCTGAATATCATCCCTTAGAGGGGAAAAATAGACCTTTTATGGAATAGAGAACTCCAAGAATTTCTGATAAAGAAACTAGAGCTGAGTAGGAGCTTTGAAATACAAACACAAGAGTCAGAAGAAACATAGGAAGATAAACTTACTGGAACAATTGGGTGTATATGATGATGCAGTGCTAACATTCTGTTAGGAGTAAAATGTGGGATAGTTCTGTCAAAGCTTTAATGTCTTCAGTGGGATTGGAGGATTTAAATAAGAAAGAAAATTTGGGTGTGGATTCTGTTCTGAGGGTTTGAAGATAGATAAGAGGTAGATGAAAGGAATACACTAGAGAGATAAGAGTGTGGAACTTGCTCATAATTGGAGTGTGTAAGAAAGGTATACAAAAATGGAGGAAGGGAGTGGAAAGGCAATAAATCTTGCTCCTCTCTGAAATTGACAAGGAGAACTGAAAACACACTTAGTTTGGTTTAGAAATATACTAGACTCAAAAGGAAAATAAGTGGGAATAAGGAAAGAAGAGTGGAGTAAGAAAGGCATGATGATACCATAGAAGTAGTAGCCTCTAATAAAGCAAACCTTCTGATCCTGAAGGGGAGATTAAAAGGAAAAGAAAAGAATTAGTATCTAAGGGGGAGGAGAATACTCATCAGCTGGAGAATAGCAGAACAAGGGAAGGAAGGAAAAAAAGAAAAAATTAATTGAGATCTAAGGGGTATGGAGACGCCCATCAACTGGAGAATGGCAGAACAAATTATGGTATATGAATGTAATGGAATATTATGATGTTATAAGAAATGATGAAAGAATTTCATAGACACCTGAGTAGTTTGCAGAGTGAAGTGAACAGAACCAGGACTACCATTTTATGACGACATAAACATTGTAAAGAAAAACAACTTTGAAAGATTTAACTAATCAGTGAGGTGACCAACCACAATTCCAGAGGACCACTGATGAAAGATGTTCTCTATTTCCTGAGAGGTATCATGGAGTCAAGGTTTCAAAAAAAGTATTGATTTTTGAACATAGGCACTGTGGATTGATTTTTCCTGACTTATTCTAATTTGTTAAGAAGGATTTTTTTCTCTCAAGAGTTGATGAGAAGTGACTAACACAGTGATGCCCCCTAGTTTCATTGAAACATTTTTCAAACTGTTTCAGTGAACAAAAGAAAGCAACAGTTTTGAAAGTAATGTATGGAATTTATTATATCCTTTTTATTTTAAAAAGTGTTATAAAATAGTGATTCATGGTTTCATATGCAGTCTTTTTATGTTCTGTATATACAAGAAAATATTATTCTGGTATTTAAGTTCATAATTAAACAAAATCAAAACAAAGATAAATGTTCCCAGTTTTCTAAAAAGCAAAAACTGTTATGAAACCCTTTAAAAATAAAAAAAACTACATCTTATGAATGATGAACAAACTAAAATTCAAGTCTCAGAATTATCATTGTTATGTCCTACTATTCGTAATCCCATTTGGGTTTTTTTGGAGGGACAAAGATACTGAGTGGTTTGTCATTTTTCTCTCCAGCTCATTTTATGGATGAAGAAACCGAGGCAATCAGTTAAGCTACTTGCACAGGGTCTGACACAGATAAAAAGTGTCAGAGGCTGGATTTGAACTGAGGTCTTCCTGATTACACTACTTCACCTAGCTGTTGACTCAGAATTGCTTTTTGATAAATGAGGAAGCATGGCTTAGTAAAGAGAACTGGACTTACAGTCAGAAAACCTTGGTTTGTGTCCCAGCTCTGACACTTTCTAGCTATGTGAACATGGACAAGTCATTCAATTTCTGTGAGCCTCAGTTTACTCATTAAAAAATGGTTTTAATAATTCCTGTACATTCTTCCTCACAGGGTTGTTTTAAGAAAAACACTTTGTAAACCCTAAGGTATTATATAAATATTGTTATTGTTAATATATTTAACATAGCATGGTCTCATTTTATACAATTCAAGTATTCCTAGGTAGGAAAAAAGTACTTAAGATATATATGTTCTGCAATCTGGAGTTACACCCAAAGTGTTATAAAACTGTACATACCCTTTGACCTAGTAATACCACTATTAGGTTTTTTCCCCAAGGTGATCAGGGAAAAAGGAGAAGAACCTGTATATTCTAAAATAGATATAGCAGCTCTCTGTGGTGTAAAAGAAACTGGAGATTTAAGGGAAGCCCATCAATTGGGGAATGACCAAATAAGTTGTAGTATATGATTGTGATGGAATACTACTGTACTATAAGAAATGATGAGCTGTTTGATTTTAGAAGGAAAAAAAAACATGGAAAGACTTGCATGAAATGAGCAGAAGCAAGAGAACATTGTATACAGTAATAACAGTATTGTTCAAGGAATAATTGTGAATAGCCACATTACTCACAGTATTATGAATGCTCACATCAGCTACAAAGGACCTATGAAATAGGAAGATGATATCCACCTCCAGTGAAAGAACTGATAAATAGAAGTATGCATAGTATGGTTTTACATATATTTATAAATCTTTGTCAAGTGGTGGCCTTCTCTAGTGGGCTGTAGTTTGGGAGGGAGGGAAATAATTCAGAACTTAAAATGTAACCAAAAAACAAATTTAATTTAAAAAGATGTGTATGTTTTGCTAGCTGTTCTCTGTGTATGAAGTTCCATCTCCTGCCTTTATGCTTTTATGCAATTTTTCCCCATATCGAAAATACTGTCTTTTCTCTGTTTCATAGTATATTTCAAAGCACAACTCAGATGCTGCCTCCTATACACGGCCTTCTTTAATGAACCTACTGTCGTTTCCTACCCCCATTTTACTGGCACACTCTTTTAAAACTACTTTGTATATACGTAGTTACTACTTGTGTAGGTGTTATATCTTCCTAGTAGAATGTCAGCTCCATGAGGGCAAGTACTGTTTCATTTTTTAATCTGTATCCTTATTGCTTAGCACAATGACTTGCACATAGAAGGCACTTAGTAAATGTTTGTTGAATTGAATTTAATTGGAATCACATTTCCTGCTGATTTACAGCATAACTTCAGGGTTCTATTAATACAGATAAAAAAATTTTGGCAATTAGTATTGAAAATCACAATTTAAATCCTAAAATTTACTTCTAGGAGCATTGAATTTTTTTTTTAAGCAAATAGTTTATGGGCATATAATTTACCCATACAACCTCTGCAAAAGAACATAGGCTCCATATGCCACTTATGTAGTCTTTGCTTAGTGAGTACAAGCAAACATACATTAAAATATATTCCACGTAGGAAATTTTCATAAACCGCATTGGATTTGAATAATTGAGCAGCTACATTGACCATATCATTGTTCTCATTATTTACTTGGCTTTCTTACTAGCTGGAAAAGTTACATAGTGATATTTTTTTAGACATTGAGGTGGTTATAATCAAATGAATTTGCATTGCTGTGATGTTGTTAATAGATATGCACATTGAATTTTGGCCTAATTTATTTAATACTTTAAAACAAAATTGTCAGCTGAAGATGACTAAAAGGTTCCTGCACTTAGCACACCTACTAGGTGTTTAATAAATACGTGTTTCCTTCCCTTTCTGTTTCCCTGTTCCTGAAGTTGTTATAGTTTGTGGAAAAACTAAGGCTGTCTTAAGACCCTGTTTTTTTAATTCAGCTATGTCCCTTAAAACATTGGATGAGCATTCTGGCAACGCTGTCACAGAACTTGGATCTATGCTTTTTACTAGACAAGTGTCTGGAGCCAGGTAAGCATGTTTGAGAGAGGTGGTTTGTGTTTTGAGTTTGGCTTTTTAAGCTTGATGTTTAATATCTGTATTTTACATAATAATCATATGTTAAGTATATGCTGAAGCATACTTGGAGACTATTGAAAAGAAGACTGGTTTTTTCCAAAAGTACTATTAAGACTTGAGTATGTCATCTAACCTATAGTCTTCATTTTTAGATATTTTTATATTTGAAGCATTCCAGAAAGAAGAGCATCTTGTCTATTTTTTTTTAAAGATCTCAAAGTTTAAAAAACCAAAACTTCTCTTGGTAATAAGGGACAATAATTCTAACTTGATTATTTTAAGTGATTGCAAGTATAACTTTTTTGTGTTCTTGTAAACACAAATGGTGATTTCACCAACAATTTCTAATAAAAGACAACCACTGTCAAGGAAAAACTTGATTCTTGAATTAAGTAGAGTGTGGAATTCCATCTCTGGGAAAATTCACTTCTTCATTGGTGAACTTCCACTGTATGCATCTTAGTTTGGTTCTTTTAAACTTGTCATCTTCACCTAATCTTCAGCTTTGCTTTTGTTTGTTTTTATATAGGTTGATTTTTTAAAACTGACTACAAATGCCTGTAGTACATAAGACTATAGGTAAAGGAGAAACTGAAGCCCAGAAAAGAAATGTAACTTGCTCAAGGTCACAGAGGTAGTGACAGAGGGGAGATGAATTGAAGTTCTCAGGTTTCAAAAGAAGTGCCTCTAGTTGTCTGAGGCCCTCTGCTCCAAGTGTGCAAGTTTAGGTCTACTGATACATAAACTAGTCATGAAATAATAAAAATCAGGCATTGGAAACTCTTAAGATCTGGCTGTTATTATTAATTGCCTGCCTACCACTGAACCTACTGGAAATGTGAAAGTGACAAGTTTGAGTCAGGGACTTGACTGTCCCTTCTTTATCACTTGGAATGCATCCTTAACACAGTGCTGAGGACATAGTAGAAAACAAATAAGTATTTCTTAATTGAGTGATACAAGACATTAAAGTGGGGTTACTGGTGCCAAGTAGAAGTGTCATGGCCTTGTTTTTAGGGACCCCAGAGAGGAATTTAGAATTGGACTAAGATTACATATTTATAGTAATGTTGATATATGTGGTTTTGGGGTTTGTTCTTGACACACACACACACACACACACACACACACACACACATACACACACATGATACTTTGCATTCAGATTTATAGGTAGTATTGTGTCAATAGCATCAAATATATTAAATAGCTAATAGTTTACCAAATAAATTTTTCCTTTCAGGGTTGTGCCTCTGGGGATTCTGCAAACTATGAATGGCTACCCTTTCAAAGGCTTTATGTCACATGCAAATAACTATCCCTGTGCTTATCTCAATGCCTCATCAGCAGTTGGAATGAAAAAACAAGATGTAGAATTGTTCATAAAAAGGCTTGATAAGTGCTTGAAGTCAGTGAGAAAAGGAAAAAGCAAAGAGAGTGCTGGTGACAGTGCGGTTGATAATTGTAACATCACTGAAGATGTGAATATTCAAGAAATGGCCTTAAATCTGGATAATGCAGTTGTTCTCGATGAATGCAAAGAAATTTATTCCTGACATATCTTTCTCTTTATGGTTTGAAATAAATTTTTGAAGATAACTACAATGAATAATAATTTATAATTTTTTAAATTAATAATTCCTTTGAAAATGTTTAGTTAATGTACTTGAATAGAGAGTGAATTAAGTTAGCAAATGATTATTATCTTTTGATTCTTGGGCTGTTTCATAATTATGCCTCAATCTTTATAATCTTCCACAGAATAAAATATACTTAACATTTTTCTAACTGAAAAGTAGTCAGCTATGCACTTTTATTGAAGTAATCCTTACTAATATAAGGATAATAAAATTGCCTATAATTCTCTGAAATATTTGAACTGTTTTTTTTCCTGGCTGCTGCCTCATTTACACATTATGTATGTTCTAAGTTTGTCCTGTTGTATAGTTCGTATGGTTGTTGATAAATAGGCATATTCTAAGGAAGGTTGATTAAAAACATGCTCATTAGTTTGTTTTTATTAAAATGAAGAGCTTTTCGAGAAATGGTGAATTTTTCAAATTTTCTATGGTGACTTTAGTTATCTAGTTTTGCTTTTTAATGAAATACTTCTATGGGTTCACAATGTGATGGAGTGACCAGAGTACTAACTGAGAAGTGGGAGGCCTGTATATTCATCCCATATTGTGTCATTGTCTGATTGTATAACCTTGAGCAAGTCAGTTAACTTCTGGGGTTCAGTTTCCTTATCTGTAAAATTAAAGGATTAATATTTAAGATCCCTTTCTGCTAAAATTCTCTGATCCCAGATTCCTTGAACAAATACGTTCTATTTTGGCATGTGAGAATCATAAGTGATGGTCAGCATCAGTAGCTCCAAAAATACATTTTTATTAAAGAAAATTTTAAAATGTACATACACTTTTTTTAAGCTTATAATAATATTTGATCTTTTGAATCTATGTGCTATAAGGTAACATGCTTACATAATCTTTTGGGGGGCAGCCAACAACACTAGGATTGATTAACTCAAGCATATTTGGACATATGCATCTGCTAGGGTAGAAAATGAAACAATGTGAAAATAGTTGCTTCTCATGAGGTATTCCTGAAATTCTTTAATTTAATAACTGTGGTATATGTAAGGTATTTGGCTTATGTTCCACATAGGTCAAAATGCCAGAAAAACTCCCAATTGATATTTGACTATACCTTTGATTTTGTGATTGCATCTTTTTTGATTGATTTTAAAAATGAGAGAATTTTCAGGTACTTGGGCTTACATAAAACATTAGTTAAACTTTCAGTCTATTGTCAAACATTAGCTACAACTTATACAAGTTCCAATAAATGTGAAAAGAATACTTTATAAACAAATATAATAATGTTTTAAAAATCTTTTCTGTCCCAAAACTCTTAATTAGGATATTTTATATTCCAAGCATCACATTCATACCTGTGTTTTCTTTGTAAGTTATCTTTTAAATTCCAACAATATTTTTAAAAATAAATTTACTTTTGAAATTTTGACTCATTTCACATAAATATTCATGAATAAAATTACATTGTGCAATGATCATATTAGTTTTTTTTTTTTAATTTTTACTGTTTGAAATGGGATTGTAGGACAAATAAAAAACCAACCAGATGTAACAAAATCTCTAGAGCATAAGAAAGGAAATTAAGTAATGATGCAAATGTAAATGCTGGCATTGAAGCTTAATATACATGTAAGCCAAAATTGTTTTATAGAAAAAGTCATCTATATTGTGGGATCATCATTTGGCTTAAGAAAGGGTAGAGTCCAGAGACTAGCAAATGTTTTAATCTCCAATGTATCAGCGGTTCTTGGACTTCAGCTGCTGAGTAGATAATACTAATTAAAGATAAATTACATGAACTCATATATAAATGATAGATATGGTATAACATTCCTGTTCTTAATGTATAAAGTTTGAGCTCCTATTTTTATTATCATTTTTAAAGAAGTTTTAGATTTCTGGTTTAAATTCTTATTGACCCTAAAACAGCTTTGTGATCACAAAAATAAAAACAAGTATTTTGAGCATGTGTCTAACCCCAAAATATACAACATAAATGTCTATAACATATAACATGTTCGTTAACATGTGTTCATATATTGTATATTGTTCATAGCAACAGTATAACTATAACATGACATGTTCATGAACATGTGGTCATATATTACTGTTAATGGCAAATTCTTTATGACTGAATTCATAATTCAGTTCAGTTATATATTAATTCCCACAAAAGTATTTCCCATCCCTACATAGGAAGGGTTCTTAAGTCACAGTAAATCCAATGACCTAGGCTAAAGTGATTTAATTTTTTTAAATAGACAGTAGTGGAATATCCTTGAAAAGAAAACCAAATACTGGTTTTAATGTAACATAAAATTTTAACATAATGTGCTTCTTACTACTGTATACATACATTTTAATGTATTTCAGATCAGGTTTTTATTTACATTTGACTCTTTTAGCCTCATGCTAATGATATTTTGGATTACCAGTGGAGAAAGGGGCACCAAAAGGAACCCATTATCAGTAAATGTAATTTTTAAATATTTAATTTTATTTGTTGATAATTGTATTAAGTAATTAAACATAAACTATTATTTAGCACAGTACCATTTATATGTTAGAGAGCTTGATGATGATTTAGAGTGATAGAATTTTTACTTCCATCTCAGTTAAACCTAAGTTCCTAAGTATATTTTTCACCAAATTATTGATCCATGTAACTGGTAATTTCTAAGGCACATTTTATTTAATTGCACATAACATGGTGTGGTATTCATGCTTAACTTATGCTAGTGCAAAATTAAAAAAAAAATTCTAGTCTTTGTATCATGCTTTTAAGTCTTTTGACTTTAGTGACATTTAAAATTCAGGTAAAATTTGGCATTAGTGTTAATTTTATTTTAATATTCAAAAACTTATTCTCATAGTTAGAACTATTACACATCCATTCCAGGAACTCCCATAGAAGTTAATATGCATATAAATTTGGATAAAAATAGTTTTCTTCACCTCCCCATGTAATAGAAATTTTTTTGAGGACTTAAAAAGGTTATCTTTTTTTAAAATTTAATTGACTGTTTTTAAAAATAGCAAATTTTCAGTAGCATTGAAGTTTGGTTATCATAAGTGTTATAATGTCTTTAGAAAATGCAAATAGGTTTTCTTAAAGAAGTATTCATACTTTTAACAGTGACGCAAACTGGAAAGAGCTGTTTGTTGTTATAATATCCAGTATTTTCCTGTAGTCTGACACATTATATTAATTTTAATTTGCATATTTAGTTCTTTGTATGATAAAGAATTGTCACCTTATCCTTTGGTGCCTTAATTTTATTTTTATCCTCTTTTTGACTTTTTTGGATGCCAAATGACAAACACAAGATCAATAAGCATATTTTTGTAATTTCTCACATAATGTACATTGTTCAATCTCAAGCCATATAGGAATTCCAGGAATGTTTATACTCTTTTGTTGTTAGCAGGTTGTGTTGGTTTTAACCTTAATTAAAACACGAAGAATTGTCTATTTTTGTAGAATGTGTTTTTTGTTTTACCATTATAGTGGGAAACTGATAGCAGTGAATGACAACTAATGATTCATCTACTTGTTTTGCTGAATGAAAAAGTTGTTTCCAGAAATGTTTTTGGTGTTTGATGTTAAAAGTAAACGATGCATACATATATAATTTCTAAAAAAAAAAAATCAAATACTAGTGAGTTGTATTTTATTTTGTCCCATGTTCAAATAAAATCTGAAAGGACCTCTAATTATCATGATCTTTGCTCTTTTTTCTTTTTTCCTTTTTCCTTTCATACATTCCTTGTACAGTTTGTATCTCGATCCAGTTATTCAGTTTCAAACTTGTTCAGAAATCAACTAGAGTAGCCAAACCTGTAATGATTAAAAAAAAGTATCCTAGCAGCCACTGCAAAGGATTTGTTAGATAAAAAGGACAGGAAGCTTAAAACCATTAAAGGATTTTCTAAATTATCTAGTCCTTTATTTGGAAATGCAAAAATTATACCAATGCATGTCATTGTCCATTTCAGACTTGCAAGGCTTCATATTTGAATTATATAGATATAATTTTAATTTCATAAAATTAAGCTGCATTAAGCTGTATTGGAATTCCATTTCTGTTCCCCATTGAAATCTAATTTATCCTGTAGAACTTTGTCCATTATTGTTCTAGTCCCTGGGCCAGCTTTAATTTTAAAAGTATAATTGATTTTAGATAAATTATCTGTAACTTTTCAGAAAACAACTTTTTCAGAGCTTTTTATTTGGTGGTCTTTCAGTTTCCTTTTGCATTTAAATTTGATGTAGAATATAATTTGCTTTTATTTTATACAAGTGAAATTTCAGGTCACAACACAGCAATGCTAACATGATGTATCAGAGAGATAGGGACTGAACCTGTGATCTGGTTGATAGAGAGCTCCCAGATGAGGAAATTCCTCCACTAATGCAAGTTGGCACCCTTTATGTAGTAAGGTTGTTAAATGACTTAACACAGTCATGTAACGATTATATGTGTCAGAGGCAGGATTTGAACCCAGGTTTTCTTGGCTCCAAGGGCCAGCTCTCTATGCATGAGGACATTGCTGTTGGAGATAGACATAGATGGATTGACATTGATAAAATCTGTTTATATGTGCATATACAATAGAGACCTTTACATCATTTATATTAATTGATCAAAGCTTTTGATGCAACTGGCAGACCATAGTAAATCACTCAATAAGGTTATTATACTAAAATTAATGATAGAATGACTAGTTATATTAGTTTTGTTATTTAGTTTCTGGTCTGTTCCCTATTACTTGTGGAAAAGCAGCCAGGCTGGTATTATTTAATCAGTTCTACACAACCATGCTTGAAAATGCAGCAAAACCCAGCTGTTTAACTATTTCGAACTTTAAAACTGATGATCAACTGATGGTTCAGCAGGCAACCTACACTAAAAGTAGTTCAGAAAAGTATGCTTTGGTTATCCCTTTGATAAAAAATGACCACACATGGTGTATCATAATGTAACCACTGTCTTATAGGTTAGTCTTGAGAATCTGTAATCACACACGTATGTATATGCATATATAAAATCATCTATGTCCTGGGTGGCCATGACCCAGTGCTTGATAATTCATAATTGTCTCTTAAGGTCTAATGGTATAATGGTCTATTCACTTGCATATTGCACTTTTGGCTTTGTATCTGGTTTGTGTGTTTGTATGTACACATAGCTATATATCTAGATGTATACATAGAGTAATGGTAATTCCTGGTTGGCACTAAATTCTAATTTTAGGTAATTGGAAAGTCATACTAAATACTGCATCAAATGTAGAGTCAAGATGGTGGCCTAGCACTTTGTCTTTCCTATGACAGAGATGATTAGGGGTTCCGTGAATCTAGCCTTAGATTTCCAGGTTTGGAAGAAATTGATATTGTCTGTCTAGGTCACAGGGGTGGGGAACCTTTGGTCTTGAGGTCACATGTGGCCTTTTAGGTCCTTGGGTGCGGTCTTTTGACTGAGTCCAAGTTTTACAGAACAAATCCTTTTATGAAGTCCCTAGACTCTAGGAGGCGAAAAGTTGGAGGGAGTTAGTTTAGCAAAGGAGGTTTCTTTCTAGAAGAGGGAAAGTCAGCTGTTAGTGGTACTATAACTCCCAGTAAAATCAAATACAAGTACCTACCATGGATTAGGCCCTGGTATACAAAACTCAGATGGAACAGTCCCTGTCTTTGAGGAGTTTATATTGTATAGTGGGAGAGAACTTGTCTATATACAACTATATACAAAATATATACAAAGTAAATGCAAGGTAACGATGGGAGGAGACACCAGCAGGCAGGAAAGGTGTCATATAGACGCTGGCATGTCAGCTGGACTTTGAAGGACACTGAATTCTAAGAAGTAGAGCTGAGGAAGAAAATAAATTCCAGGCATTGCAAAGATAGGAGATAGGGCATTATGAAAGAGAACCATCAGGAAGGCCCCTTTGGCTGCACTCAGTCTATAAGAGGGAGAAATAGGGAGACCCTGTAGCTTATAAAGAGTCATAGACCTGTGCTTTAGGAAAATTGTTTTGGTAGCTGTGTGGAGAGTCTTAAAGCAGGGAGGCCTATTAGGAAATTATTTCAGTATGTCTAGAGATGTGATGAGGGCCTAAACTAGAGTAGTTGTGGGAGTGAAGAAAAGGGAACATTCTAGAGAGATGCAGAATTGACCAGATTTGGCTAATGGTGGATACATGAGGTGAGGGAGAAGTTGAGGATGTCTCTGAGATTGCAAACCTGGGTAATTTGAAAGGATGGTAGTACCCTCAGTAGAAATAGAAAGCTAGGAAGAAGGGTAGTTTTTTGGGGAAAGATGATGAACTCAGCTTAGAGATGTTGAGTTTGAAATACCTATGGACAACCAGTTAGAAATGTCTCATAGGACGTTGGTGATGCAGAATTGGAGCACAGGAGACCAATATCATTGGTATTGTTACAGAGTGGCTACCATCTTAATCTGTTCATTGCCATTTTAAAAAATTTAGATTGACTTTGGAATTTTTTTCATTTTTGGAGTTAGCATTGGTTTTAAAATGAGATTCACTTTATAGCCATCTTTTCCAGAAACCAATTTTTTCCCAAAGTATGAAGGATACCGGTTCAGTTCTTTTAATAAAGCAACACATACATGAAAGCAAGAAACATCTTCCTTTATCTTACATTAATAAAATGTTATGTAATAAAATAGTTTACATTTATACATATACATGTGGAATATACCCATATATGTATATGTCTGTTACTGTTGAATTACTGTCTTCCCCAAACTGAGTAGTCTCAAGTTTTTCAACCTCTTCTAGGACAGATTTAGGATCATATGATTTTTGGAAGGGACCTGAAAGATCACTTAGTCCAACCCACTCAGGCCTTCAAGGGAGAGGTAGTGACTCATCCAAGCAAGAAAAGTTGTAAGTTAGGGGATTTGGGATTCGAATTGAAGTCCTCAGATTCCACCATCACAGAATTTCCCACTACACCACAGTTTCAGTCCTCAAAGTAACTTCGGTTGCCTTTCTGTACTTCTCATTATTGTTCTTTTCATTGTTTTAAATGTTCCTAAATACGGTGTTTTTCACAAAGGTCTAACGTGAGATATAATGGAAGAACTCACCTCTCGCATGTCAAAATTTTCATCATTGTCTCTGGCTTTCAGCTCTGAACTCTGGCTATACATACAGATTTAATAACAATAATAATAATTAATATGTAGCACCTATGATGTGCCAGTCACTGTACTAAGTGCTTTCCAGTGATCTCATTTGATCCTCACAACAAACCTGAGAAGCAGGTACTGTCATTGGCAAGCGGTGGTTAAGTGACTTGTCCCGAGTTACACAGCTAGAAAGTGTCTGAGGCTGGGTTTTAACTCAGGTCTTCCTGACTTCAGGCCTGGTGCTCTAGTCCCTGTACCACTTAGCTGTCTTCATTTGTGAAATGTTTTAATAAAAATAGTTACAATAACCTATTGTATAGCACCTAGGGCCACTCTAATGTGGCCCCTTATCAGCTAATCTCAGATCCATGTTACTTAAGAGGTAATCATTTCCAGCCCCCAGCTCATGAACCCCCATTTCAACTGAACCTCCCTTAATAGCCATTAACAGAACACATCACACTACAGAAAAGCAAAGGATATCTATTTAGAACAATGTAAGGAAAATTACAAAGGAAAAATAAATTCCCAAACAGAAGGATGCACCCTCCCATGGATTCCCATGACTTCAGTAAAAGAGGGAACATTTGTAGCCCTCTAAATGGCTAAATGCCCCTAGGGTTGCTTTCTGAATGGAAAATATCCCTGCCTAGGAAGATGTTCTTTACTATTTCCCCATTGACTTTCTACTGCCATCTGATGGGCTGTTACCTCTGCCAAGCTGCAAGTGGTTATTAGTCAAAAACAAAAATCAACTTCCCCAAAATAAGGAAGCCTTTTATATCAAGAAAAATCCCAAAATGAAATTGAGGATAAATTGCCAGGAGGAGCCTTTGATATCATAATAAATAAATGAATGGTCAGAACCTGGTGGTTTTTTGTTTTTTTAAACCAAAGGTAGGGATAAAGTCAAAATAACTAAGGGTTGTAGACTAGCTTAAGTTTAGAGGTGGCTTGTAGGGCACAGTCCAGTCAAGTGGGGCATGGACTTTATGAGGTACTTGTCATACCAAAAAGTCTTTCTAGAGCAGGAGCCAATAAGGAACCAAAAATCAGCAGGACCATTTAGGGAAATCATGACCAAGAACTGAAAACTAGGAATCCAGAAAGGAATAAGGCAGTGACAGCAAAAGTCATTGGGATCAGAAAGGCCAATAAAAGGGACTCCAGAGAGTAGGAAATAAGAAAGGAGTCCCAAAAAACAAAACAAATTCATGGGTGAAAGAGGCTCTGGAAATGCAAGTGTTCTAATTTGCATGCCTATATAAAGTTTTGCTTTAAAAGTTTGTCCTTTTATCTGTTTTGATGTTTGCTTAAATTTAGCTGTTTTCATAAAATTCAATTTTTATTTTCAAAAATTTGAACATCAGTGATGCAAGTCAGTAGTCTAGTGCAAATGGTCACCATCTTGAAAAATCAGAAAAATCATAAGATCCTCTAATTTTATAACCAGAAGGTACCTTAGACATCATTTAGTCCAACTCCCTCCTTTTGTTGATAACACTCACAATGTCTAGAGAAGATGAGACTTGTCCAAGG